GACATGCCAGAACTTGATTTGAAAACCATAAACCAAAGACGGCCAGAACATTCCGCAAAGAAGAGAGATAAAAAGCAATACTCAGAAGAGCGAAAGTAGACGTAGCGGCCGCTTCACGATGGATTTTGAGGCCAAATGGGAGTGCACCGCCTCCCAAGCTCGGTATTTTCGCCAATTTCAGCGAATTATTTCTTTTGCTTTATTTTTACAACTCGTTCAGAGCGGATTTGTCTGGAAGGTGATGGGCAACGTTGAATTACAGTTGAGCCTATTTAGGGCTTATTTTAGGCTTTGAACTTCCAAGTTTAAGTCAATCGTCGGAGTGTGCCATGCATTCTGTTTCACTGGGAAGATGTTGGGAGAAAGATAATGAGGCACGCACAATCCTATTATGCAGGTAATTTCTGTATCTAAGAAGAATGTTTTCAAAAATTGCCCTAGAACTAGACTTGATTGAGTGTTTTGTTTCAGCGAGGCGGTTATTCTCTTTTGATTACTTCACGAAGAAGATGAGGTTCGTCACTGATTTTAAGACTGACGAAAGCATCCTCAGGAAATAAAGGACGATTATACAAAGTTAACCAAGTCGGAGGCTAAATATTTCTGCGGGGAAGCGATCGCAGGTTTACATTGAGAACATGAGGAAGATAAACGGTGATATGAAAAGAGAGACCATGAGTTTGCAGCGCCTTGGCTTTTGAAAAATTGAAAACTTCGCGTGGTTATGAAACAATCAAAAATAAGGACTGTTTGTGTCAGATTCAGGTTCAAAAGCCTCAAGTGGAATATAAGCGATTCGCAACAGATATAGGTTTGAACTTGTAGAATCGACGAGCTGAGATTCAACGAATTTTTTCGCGTTTTGAAAGGATTGTGTTAGATTTTGCTTGAATCAAAAATACCTCAAATGTTGCTGGTTATTAGAAATTTTTAGAAATTCGGGTAGCAGAGGATCAGTACACTTTTTATTCGGTGCTACTTCAGCTGCTAAAGATTTTTGCAAAATAGCTTCATAGTTCACTAATCACTTGAAAACTGACGAAAAACGCAACAAGTGAGTCCATTTTACGTAAAGGAACTTTTTGTCAACGAAGATAGGAGCCTTTAAAAAGCATTCGAATAAAATAGATAATAATAATAAGCGATGTCAGCGCAGATGAATGGATACGATGAGTTAGTTCGAAAACGAAAATCGATATCGCAAGTGTTATTGAGGAGGAATGTAAGAACGATGGGAAGGTTGTTTCAATGGGAACCTTTCCGACTCTTTTTCCCACTCCTACTGCTGTTGTAAATACATATAAACCTCGAATGAATGAGGAGCTGTTCCCATAAAGGTGTTTTAGGCAATTTTCAATAATGGATTTCATATCTTTCAGTTACCAATAGCCATGTTGTACATGGAGAATTGACATCGTACTCCTAGTTACCACATGTTATTGAAATAATAGCGTTCTCCCATGGTAACCGCCAGGAATTCCCTATTTCTGTATACCCATACACCTTTCGCTGCAATCCTATCTAACTGCCAAGTTAGAAAACGTTTAGTGGACTGAATTGAGATAAGAGTGGACGGTTTATACTTAAAGTTTCCGTGCTCAGGGGGTATGCAAGTGATGATGGTGTGAGCAAAGCTAAAACGGCAAAAAAGGCTTATGCCACAGGGCCATTTACATATTCAAATCACGGGTCTCTCACATTTTGTCAAAGGATGAATTCACGAAATAAAAACGAAGAGTCAAAAGAGAACGGAAATTGCCATAGTTGGGAGACAGGCGGACCTCCTGAGGGTGCTGACCGACGCGTAATTAGTAGCGAAAGATTTGACCTCGGCGATCTAGCATGGCTCACTCTTGGCGCGGTTGGCGGGGTACGCCCACCGACTATCTAATCACTCGCCACAGGTCTAACTCCATGTGGACGAGTGATAAGGGCGCGTGGGTATAGCAGGAGAGACGCAGTGTGTTGAAGAGGGCACAACGATGAGAGTCGCATCAATGCGATGGGTAAGGAAGGAGTCCCATTTTCGGGTTCCAAGCCGTTTCAGATGGTTTTTCTTCATCACTTCACTGGCCACCTCTACCCCTATTTCCAAGGAGCTATTTTCTCACCGTAAAACCTGCATTTAAGCTAGATGAGTTCTCTCATGAATCCGTTTTGATTAATTATATCTTTAGTTTTATTTTGGTCGCTCAATTCAGGTTGCAGTTGTTGTTACTTCACACGCGAGTTGTAATAAAATAAGTAAGCATTGTACTGACATTCTCTCATAGAAGAGGAGATGTGTAGGAAAACCAGAGAGCAGCTTGTGGAGAGATGACGCATTGACGCATGAGACACTCCGTAGAATACCCATAAATCATCTATTTTCGGAAACAATATCATCCCTCGTTTTAATAATAGCCTACTTAAATCACTTCTTGAGTTCAGAAAAAGAGCTAAAACCAAAGTATCCGAGTCGCGTGATCAAAGCATGATGGTTTCGCGAAAAAAGAGAAATTACGTGTAATGGTACGAAGAGAGGGCTATGGTAGAGGGTTTTTGCTTGCTATGGTAGCCCTTTGCGTCAGAATGTATAGCATGAAGGGAAAAACATCACGAACAAAAGGGTCAAAGACACGCTATGGCACTGACCAACTGACGCTTCTATGAATAGCACTGATTGACTCGTTTTGTGCCCAGTAACAAGCTCCGATCGCAGGTCTGAATTCTGCCCTAACTTCTCGCGTAAACCTCTTTCGAGGTGTGTCTGAGTGTTCACAAGGATTCACCTTACACGATTAATAAAAACGGAACTGGTCTTATGGGCGCTCAATCCAAAAATGCGCATATCCTTCGAACTAGCCTGGACAACTCGTGGGTGAATAATTCTTTGAAAGGAACTACATTTACGAAGTAGGCAGAAATAACGAGTAGCAGGCAAATTACAATCAGGAAACTATACGAAGAGGGAATTCCGCTTCCGGCTGTTCTCAACAGCTCATTTCCTGTTTTCGACTTGCAATTCTCATGACTACGATGGCAAATGAGAATGAAAGGAGTGGGGAAACATGTACGTAAGGGGCTAGAATTACTTGTTGTGAATTATGTAGAACACCTAATCAACAGTCACAGCCTCAGAGCAGTTTACACCATCATGTCAGCGCGGCGAGCTTGATACCCGATGCGATGACAATGGATTAGCCTTGATCGCATGGTCATATTGCTCTGGGGCACCCGACAGGAGGCCCGTCGCGCGGCAAGAAGGCAGAGTCAGCGGAGGAGTTGCAGCACATGATGTACGATGTGGGACGTATCAATGGTACATTCTCTTTTAACTTGAGCGAAAATTCACTACAGTACACGCTGTCGTCTGCTGCCTCTTGTACCGCCGGCGACGGGCCTCCTTCCATTACCCATTGCTCTTGTCGATGGGGAATGAGGAATCATTCAAACACTACTATTCGCTTTTAAGGACCACTTGAATCGCGTTATGCCATGATGACAAGGTGACCACGAGAAGTGCAGAAATAAAACAGTTTGAGTTTTATGACATTTTTTGTCTTATTGCTGTTTCAAACATTGTTTTCTGAACTAGGTAACAAGAAATGTTAGTGTTGTTAATACCCATGAAATTGTTGACGAAATATGGTTTTGAAAAAGCGGAGATAGGAGCAGCGGTCCATGATGTGCTAGGACCAAGAAGCAGCGTAAAAGCCGGCTGGACAGAAGTGCGCCCCAGTGACCAAATTTATCGCAACTAAATCTTCTTTTGTTTTCATTCATTTCGTGGCGAGAGATCTCTGAAGCGTAAGACATTCAAGGTACAAAATCACAGCTACTGCAAATATCTGAAACGAACTAACTCATTCAACGATCCGCGTGGTGAGCATCTAACTGTAATTTTTTACAATTTCAGGATCTTTCAGTTAGGGCCTTCATAACGCAGATTACTCCGGAACTATTGACCTCGTAGCTATCAGCTTCAACCTGTCACGCGACTGCCTCACTACCCTCCTCGATACATCTGCTAACTCCCTCTTTAGTGCGAAGCTTAACCCTACTTTCTTGGGGAACAAACTGCACCAGTGAGCCGCCCTAACAGGAATAGAACAAATATTATACCGGTCATTGGTTCATAACTTTTTATAATTCCAATGAGTATAATTATTTTTTTCGTAATCTCGACAATGCATTCTGGATAGTTCAGACTAGAACAATGGAAGGTGGACCTCATCGCAAGATCAGTCGACTGAAATAGTGGGGACGTATTTGGTTCGTCGCTCGGTCGTCAATGATTAGATTTCTACCCGAGGCAAAAATCCTCTCACATCGGTGCACCAACTCACACCATTATGCTTGCCTCATTTTTTATACAGTCCATCTAATTTGAGAGGAATTGATTTTCAAAAGGCAACGTTCAGTTGGGGTGGGGGGGGAGGAGCACTGAGCGCCATTTCGGCGCGCTTTCCATTTTTTTATGCACGAATACGCCGAAAAGGACATTGCCGTCAGCAAAGATCGGAGAGTCTTAAAAGAAGCTCAGAAGAGGCTCTTCAGGAAACTGGAAAAAATGATTTTTTCAACATCACTGTTTGAACGCTGAGAGTCAATTTCACTACCGGCTATTGTCGCAAATAAACTAATGATTTTCTTTATATTTGAGTATTTTACGCATCATATACTTCATACTTTATCGTTCTCACTAACATTTGCTTTGAATAACCGCATGTTTGAGTCGTTCCAAACAGCACTGAGTCCCCCACCACATAAAAACATGTCAGCTTGCTTTTCCTCTTCATTAAATAACTGCGATGTTTGGGGATTAAATTCCCAAAGAGGAACTTTCATTTCCGATAAACTTGACCCTACATTAAGCCAAGCGCCGATGCCCTTGAGAATAAAAATATTTGTTGCCTCTTTGGTGATGACGGCTATTCTACCGTCGATTTTGCAAGTTAGAACATCCCTCCGGACGTCCTTTACTTTGAGGTGAACTTCATGAATGGACGAAAACGGACCGGTTTTTGTGTAAAAGTCGCGACGTTTGCAATTTTGTCATACTTATCAAACCGATCTCGATCTCAAAAACATTTTTTTTCAAAACAGCAGCGCCCTTCATGAACACAAATACCTTGAGCTGCTTCCTGGTTACGGAAAGAGAGGAATAAATCAAGTTTCGGAAGCTTGCGTAATAACTTCGTAGTCCTGCTTCCTACCAATATGGTCAATAAACTTGAAATAGCTGTGAAACAAACAGAGAGTGGAGAGGGCGATGGATTTCAGACTCTAGCCTCCATATTTCTCGCGAAGCTTCGAAAAAAAAAGTGAAAAAATACAGAGGCGGTAACTCATGCTTCAATTCGATGGAGCGAATACTGCGCCCACATAGTGATGGAGAGGATTATAAGTAGAGAGAGGAGCAGGGTCAACCGTCCGTTGGACAAAGTCCAACGCATGGCTCTCTAGCGTGAGAGTAATGCCGAGAGTGAACGTACGCACGGAGACACAGACGGCTCGCGCAAGGCGAGTGCGAATGCCGGCGCGGAGAGCGGTCAACGTCGGTCCAACGTCGGTCCAATGTCGGTCCAACGTGACGGTTGACCCTGCCAAAGGCTTGTCTCTAGAAGAATTTGGCTCTGGGAAATAAGCCGCAATCTAGTAAGTTATTACATTTCAATCCTTAATAGTACACGGTTATCATTTCTGTCATAAGCAACAGAAAATTTGCTTACTTAGAATGACCTAATAAGAATAGTAGGCTACCTAAGAAGTACGTATCTGGAGAGACGCTGAACGTGTTCTCAGAAGAAGGCCAAATAACTAGTGCTTTGCTTCAAAGCTGCTCTATTAGAAATGGAAGTAGGTGAAGGTGAGAACAGGGCGAACAAACTAGCCACCCCTCAAACTACAGCAGGCGCACGCTCGATCTGAACGGCGCACTTACAAAGGAAGGATATATGTCTTGGTCCTGCGATACAATTTTGTTGAAGCTATTTTTATCTTTTTCGCCGTTAATTCGGCATTGGATCAACTCAAAAGTTAGCCTGAAGAAATCGTCAAAGCACAAGAGCTATCCTTAAAGCGAATTCCACACACGAAAAAATTAAATGAATAATCGAGGATAGAGTGACGAGGCACACACACTGATTGACATAATGTCGCGCCGTTTGAAACCTACAACGGGCCTTCTTGGATTTGCGTCAGCACTAAAGTGAGGATCATTCGAAAAAGAGGGTACAGAAACGAGATTAGAGAGTATTCTGTCCCTATGAATACCGACAATGTCCCAGGATGTGGGTAGTGTCTAATGAGGCTGCATACTTACGCGATGTTATTCTCTAAAAAGGTACACTGACAAAAATAAACTATAAAATAAAGTCCTATCGGCCGCAGGGAGCCTTCGAATGAAGGCAGATGCAGACTAGAAGACCACATGTATTGAAACAGCTTAGGTCCTGGGAGATTTGGCTTTTGTGAAGAACAGGCTTAGAATTAGCCAACCCATTCCTTAGTCTAGACCTGAAGACATGCATGTCAAAAGAAAATAAGTGGTTATTGAGCGGTAGCACCCGAAGGTAGGCCAAGAAATTGATTCCCTGAGGGCTATCCATCAGTTTGATCGGTTGACGAAACTTAAAGGAATCTTCCGCGGAAAAAGCTCCGCCTCCATTACCACAGAAAAACGATACCCCTTAGGCCCCTAGCCTCATGAGCATAGCAAAAAGAACGGAACATAAGCGTTAGTTTCGATAATACTAATCCTACACACAAGACAAAATGATCACTCTTTCCGTGGAAGATTCCTTTAAGGTATCGTTTTCTGTGGTAATGAGGGCGGAGCTTTTTCCGTGGAAGATTCCTTTAAGGACGCACTCGGATTATTCTTCAGACCGTAATGGCGGCTTTTAAACACCTAGATAATCTGCGGATAGTAAATAAAGTAACGGTCGCAACGTGAAGCTATCGACGCTTTATCAGCTAATAAATAGATAATGCAAATACAAAGACGAAACCGTACAAACAAAAGCAAGTATCGAATTTTGATAGAAAATTAGGCCTAGTAGGATTTGTTGTATAAAATGGTGACGAATACGAATGACAATATTTTGCCTGGAACTCGCACAAACATCATCATCTCGTCCGCAACATTTTTTGCCTACGATATAATGAAACGTTTCAGAACAGATGAAACCAAGCTCTAGCGATACGAGGAAAGACTCTTGAGGAAGTTGAACTTAGTGTCCATCAGTTGTCACAAACCGCTCCGCTCATTAGTCATTTATTCACAATGCATACCGAATTTCCAAAGAGAACTCCGTGAAAAATGATCAAAAAAAGCAAAGTTGTCAAGATGTTCACGGATGGACATGAAGCTCAATTGGCTAAGCCGAAAACAAGATGTGTATGCTAAGAAACCCGAAAACACAGAATAGAAAGCATAAATGCAAACAAGCGTTGGAATAAGAAGAGTCACTCTCAAAAAAATATTATTACCCGACTGGGGGCAACTGATGCCACCAAAGTAAAGTACGCACAGCACGATCAAGATAGGTATCAAAAAATCCACTACCGAACCTTGCACCCCCCCCCCATATACATGCCGCTTCTCTGTACTAAACTCATGTGCGGGCAGGGTCAACTGTGCGTTGCGCAGTTTCAACAGATGGGTCGTATGTGAATTTTTCGGTGGGGAGAGGGGGGGGGGTCGTGTTAGGGTGTGGTTAAGGTCAAAAGGTTGGAAAAAGGTCTATTTTTGGAAGTTGGATGGATTGTAGTGGGGGAGGTGATGGTGGGACAAGGGAGTCGTTTTAGGTGGTTTTCTGGTAATTTAGGGAATTTGCCGTTTTATTAAACGTTTTATTAGACATACTTACCCCACCCCGTCCGTCCCGTTTTGGAGGGAAAAAGTGGGCGGAGTTGGAGCATGTCAACTGGTCACAGAATCAAACACAATAGAAACAACCAATTAAGTGATACTGAGTGCGGTGGTCAGGGATAAAGAAGATCGTATTGGAAGAATCCTCTAACAAGGAAGGTCTTTCAGGGCGTGCCAAGCTTTTTCAAAACGGTCTTTTGCATGATATAGGGGCACATGCGGGAACCACAGAACCATGGTTAATTTTTCCTGAACGGCCCTCTGAATACCAGAAAAGGGGGTCCCTAGTCACACCTTTTTCACCAGTTTTTCAATCAAAGTCTATTTGTAAGGGTTACTGACGGTCCTAATCATGAATATGGTACTAATTATTCATGCTAACTCCATTTTGCGCGAATTTTGAACGTCAACTCGAAATGCAAAAATTTGTCACCACGAGGAATCGAACTAGGGACCCCTTTTCTGGTATTCAGAGGGCCGTTCAGGAAAAATGAACCTGTGGTTCCCGCATGTGCCCCTATATCATGCAAAAGACCGTTTTCAAAAAGCTTGGCACGCCCTGAAAGACCTTCCTGGTAAGGCTGATGGTGGTGTGAGGGGTCGCATCGAGACCCCCTTGAAGGACGGGGGTTGTAAAACCTTTGGAAATGGAACAACGGACGGTTGGTCCTGTATGCGGGAATAGAAACCCACAACTTGAAAATCAGCAGGCTCGCAAATAATCGTGTACCCAAATACGCATTCAAACGAAATTAAGATTCTGAATGGGCGCCAAATGTAATGGCGCAATCATATAAAGGGATTGATAAACTGCGACACGAGCAAATCAGTTAACTGCTGATTTCATAGAGGCGTTGTAAGGCCGACTACGATTCAAATGAAGCAAAAAAAAGTATGAAGAAGAAAGATTGAATCTACCAAGAAATCATCGTCATCATGTGATCATCGAGATCAGACTGACAACTTTCAGTCGAATCTTCACTGATTGAGCTGTTATACGAATCAATATCGCACTCGCAGCGCAGACGGCGGCACTTCAAATCGAGCAGAGGTCGGGCAGTAAATTTGAGTTTTTCGCCACCGAATCACCGACCACTGACATTACAAGAACAGCGTAGGGATCGAACGATAACACATTTCTCATTCGCTAAGTTGCATTCATTTTTCATGGAAATGATATCCAATGAGAGAGCAGTGGGACATAGAAAAGATGGGCAGTTCACTCGGAAATTCGTCAAGCTCCGTCACAAGGAACTGCAGTAAATAAACTTGGGAGTGAAGACAAACGGATAATTGTTAGCTCTTGACAAGAGAAATCAATAAAGGATAAAGGATAAAGCATTTGCCGTTGATCAATCCCTTTTTGGGATGCGGCACGCATTCTACTTCCATTTGTACATTCGTAGTGGCGTTTGAATGCGATGTGGCCTATACAATGACTTGCGGGGGCCAGCCGATGTACAAGTCAGTGTTTTTATCCTCCCAGACAAGTCTGGTACCAATTAACCGACCCCGGAGGGATGGAAGGCTTGGTTGGCCCGGGCGACTCACGACCCAGGATTTGATCCCCGGACCGCTCGCGTGGTAAGCGCGCCACTTGTCCACTACACCACTTCCGCCCTCATATATTCCATGATTACCGCGTAGTGCCCTGCAGTAAGCAACTGTGTTTCAGTGATC